ATACACACTACTGTTCATGAGTTGGGGGTCAGATATTAATACTTCTAATCAGCAAGAACGCATTCAATTGATCAAAAGTGACATTTATAATGTTATAAAAGATTCTGTTTCAAACAAATGCTGTTCTTTTGAACTTTCTATTCATCAAAGAATCCTGAAAAACTAAATTTGCCACAGTTTCCACACAAATATGAACAAATATGAAATATGTTTTCAACACTGATAATCATAAATGTGTCTTGAGCATCAGATCCTCATATTAGAGTGATTTCTGAAGGATCATGTGACACTGAAGACTGGAGTAATGATGCTGGAAATTCAGCTTTATCACAGGAATAAATTACACTTTATTTTATTTAAAATAAAGAAAATAAGAACAAATAATCTAACTACAAGCAAAAGCACAAATATATACAATAGAGCAAAGATCCTGATAAATAAACCGTGCTCTTCAGGGTTTTCAGGTTCTCACGTTAGCTTCCAGGTACAGAAATTGAATAAAGTAATCATAGGTATAAAATAACATTGCATATTTTCCTGTGTAAATTAAAGATTTATCCTTATTAAATTTACAAAAGCTATTCAATCCAGATCTGTGAGTGATATACGTGTCTTTTGTTTGATTAACATTACAAAGAGAGAGCAGGGACATGAGGCCGCTGTCACTGTAACACGTAATGCACAGAATGAGTGACGCTGAACACACGCGTATACTAGAGATGCACGATATTGGATTTTGGCCGATATTCGATATGCCGATATTTTCAAACTAATTTTGCCCGATGCCGATACCGATATATTTGTATTTTTATATACCGATATATACGTGCAAAAAAAGCTTGTTAAAGTTCTCAGTCGAGAGCAGTGAGTGATTTCCTCTTTTTTGTTGTTTATTAACATTAACGGGATAGTTCTCCCAAAAATTTAAATTGCCATCATTTACTCTCTCAAGTTGTTTTAAACCCAAATAAATGTCTTTCTTCTGTTGAAAATAAAAGTTATTTGGAAGAATGTGGCTAACCAAACAGTTGCTGTACTCCAGTGACTTCCATAGTGTATTTAAGCACAAGAAAGAAATGAATACAGGTTTGGAACAACATTAGAGTGAGTAAATAATGACAGAATGTTTATTTCTGGGTGCAGTATCTCTTTAAGGACAAGCGGCAGAATATTATTACTGTCTCTTTAAGAGCTGCACACGACACGTCTAATATACACGCATTTGACAAGCAGATTTTCTCTGTTTGCTTTCACTTTAGACATAACCAACTTTGTTTATGTAAACCTTGTGTGTATTTGACCGTATCAGCGCAATAAGACTCGAAAGATTAGTCCAGTATGCAGGCGCTGTGACGGCTTTAGTTCCTGTGAGCGTCGGGTGTAACGCGCTCAGAAAAGCGGATGTTAGAACAGCGCATCAGCACGTGAATGACATGTTTAACTAGCAAGACTTTGACGCACATGCAAACAATGAACTTTTGTGAATTGCGGTGTCCCGTGAGTGTAACTCTACCTCTGCGTTTACATGTGATGTGATGTGAATGTACGTCGCGTTGTACAGTATGTTGAGATGAAGGCGCCAGAATTGAACTGATAGAATGCACGATACTATGATTTTAACTCAAAAGCAGATCGTGGAGACATTTTAATCATCCACGATCAAAAACCGTGAGACGCACACCCCTAGTTGGAAGTTTAAGTTGCTGGGGCTCATGCTTCGCTCATGCCATTAAAGCTAGAAAAGTGATCTAGCCGAGAGCAGCGAGTGATTTTCTCTGTCTTTAGTTCATGCAAGCCGTTGCGATATGCATATCGATATATACATTTGCGATATTTCGATATATTGTGCAGCCCTAATTATTTGCGCGCTGTCTGAGACGTGTGTGTGCTTCGGATGAGTGCACACGCACACACACTCACACACACTCACAGACAGACACACACATACAGACACACACATACAGACACACACATACAGACACACACATACAGACACACACACACAGACACACACACACACACAGATGATGACGGAGTAAATGACTGGTCATGTTCGAGCATCTGGCACTCGCATTGAACAACGTCTACAAAGAGTGACCGTTTTGTTTACGTTTTCTTGAGCATCGCTGTTGTGATGTATTATGGGGAGCCAGCTTGGGCATCCATCGACAAACACACATTAGCGGAACTGTGTTTTACACGTTGTTATTTTCAACGAACCAGATTATAGATGCGTCATCAGAATCGAGATGGAGAACCGTTCCAGCCCTGATTCAGACAGAAAACAGCTGTTTTACAGTGGAATATTTCCCTGTTTTACAGTGTTTAGATCTAACAAGCGCAGCCCGGGTGAGCAGAGGAGACTCGAGCGTTTGACAGGGGGTGTGTGTGACAGGTAGTTCAGTTTTAATGCTCCACTCGTCTGATCTAGAAGAGCAAAAGTCAAATCTTTCTATATACCTCTCTGAGTGCTTGATGTGGTTGAAGAGCGAGAAGCTTCGACAAAAGGACTTTATAAAAACACGACAGTGAGACTGATCTCGTGTTACACACACAAAACACTTCATACACACAGAAACACACCCTGGAATCTCATTACACTGCAAGTCAACGTGTACAAAAGCTCTTATCTAACGATATAGACACTGAACGGCTATAAAACCTTCCTCCGCGTGATTCCCAAAGGTCGAACTCGATCTCCTGGTGACCTCCGGATCCTCTCACACACACACACACACACACACACACACTTACTGTATACGGAGGAGTGGGAAGCGAGATCTTGGAGACGACTTTGAGCAGGTGTCCGTTGTCGCGCCGGTTGACGTGTGAGATCTGTGTGTGCACCACTACGGCGTTCTTCTCGTGGAGCAGGTGAGAGAGCGGGAAGGGTCTCGGGAGCGGGATACGAGACTCCACCTCGTAAATATCCTGATCCTGACTGTCCAGCCAGCTGTCCTTCACAAAGTGGGAATCCCAAAACGTCCGATAGGAATCCATCGCGGCGATCTTCTCCTGATCCTAAAGCAGAGACGTTTAAGGCTAATCGTCAAGCGACGGGCGAGTGTGTGCCGGAGGAGTCTCCGTGTTGGTAAACACACACGAGAGATTTCGCATGGCAGGTCAAATCCCGAAAAAATCCCAATGATTTTAGAGAGCACTGCCTAAAGTAAAGCAAAACTCAAATCCCGAAATATCCCAGAGATTTTAGACAGCACTGACTAAAGTAAAGCAAAAACTCAAATCCCGAAATATCCCAGAGATTTTAGACAGCACTGACTAAAGTAAAGCAAAAACTCAAATCCCGAAATATCCCAGAGATTTTAGACAGCACTGACTAAAGTAAAGCAAAAACTCAAATCCCGAAATATCCCAGAGATTTTAGGAAGCTGTGTCTAAAGTAAAGCAAAACTCAAATCCCGAAATATCCCAGAGATTTTAGAGAGCACTGACTAAAGGAAAGCACAACTCAAAGCAACCTGTAGCCAAGAAATCCAAACAGGAGAGTTGTAAAAACACCAGGACTCCCTCGTTCACTTTCCCTCGGTTACTCCTGCTGGAAACTCATTAACAATTCCATGCTTCCGTGGCAACGATCCGCTGGGAAAAGGCAGGGCCTCATTAGCAAGTGAGAACAGAGAATAGCAGCGCTCCGGGGGGAGATCATCTCTCTCTCTATGTCTCTCTATCGCTCTCTCTCTCTCTATGTCTCTCTACTGGTCTCTCGCCCTCTCTGTCATCCCACTTCCTGATTAGTGAACATGTGTGAGAGACGTCAGTGAAGGCGGAGTCACACGGCCTGCAGGTGAGTGAACACACACACACACACACACACACACACACACACACCCTTCCCCAGCCTGTCCGACCAGATTCCTGCTCCTCATAACTGAGAACGAGACCTTTAAACACTTATAAATCATGAATGTGGCGTTTTCGTTTCGTTGGAGTAATTATTTTCTCTTCAGTCTCCATGATAACTACATTATTGATTAACTTCTCCTCCCACCCGCCGCCTCGACGTCGATCTTCATTCCTGAGCAAGCCATTACATGATTAACTCCCCATCAGAGCCGAGCACACACACACACACACACTCATCTCACAGACCTGGACTTATGTGCGCTCCATCAGACCCGAGCACACACACACACACACACTCGTCACACACACCCGTCACACAGACCTGGACTTATGTGCGCTCCATTAGACCCGAGCACACACACACACACACACACACACACACGTCACACAGACCTGGACTTATGTGCGCTCCATCAGACCCGAGCACACACACACACACACACACACACACACACACGTCACACAGACCTGGACTTATGTGCGCTCCATCAGACCCGAGCGCACACACACACACTCGTCACACAGACCTGGACTTATGTGCGCTCCATCAGACCCGAGCACACACACACACACACACACACACACTCGTCACA